TTTTAAAAAAAAGGGGGAAACCGCCGAACCAAAGGCTGAAAGATAGCATAGTAATTTAATCATTAGTGCGAAAATTTACATAAAGGTAAAAACCGAGAAAATATGTTATTTTTCTAGTTTTTTTTCAAAGGTTTAGTGTAATGTCGTATGCCTTCACTATCATGGATATGTGGCGTAAATGAGCATTTGAGGAAGATGTTAGCATAAACCGATTGATTTCGTAAATTGATTAAGGTTGGCGCGACACGGTAGAGTTGTTACGCGCTATGAGAATTGAGAGCCATTGGCGCACGGTTTTAGCAAAAACCTTCGCGATTGTTGTGAGGTGCTTTTCAGGTGTTTTTACCTATGGTTATTTTTGTGTTGGACACGGTGTGTTACAACGTAACGTAAGAAAGACAAAGTGTGAGGGATTAAGCGTTTTGGTTAGTAATACCGTGTAATTTGCAACGCTGTAGAACTGAGAGTAATTGAAAACGCTCAAGAGAGCTCAGTGGTTTTCTTTTTCTCAGAAGCAATTGCATAGGCAGATAGCTTTAACCAAATGAACCTTCTAGAAAGCAGTGTTTGTCTCCTATGTTTTGTTGGTTTTCTTTGAAGAAGGATTGATCGAGTGACCATGAGCAGATCATCAAGCTTTCCCTAAAGTTGAGGTAGACCGTTAGGTTTCAGTGTAGGTTATGGTTTTGGGAAGCTGGTGAGCTTAATGTCTCAATAGTAGACGGTTATTGGTGCCCGTAAACAAAAACGGACGTTAGGACAATTGTAGCGCTCACTAAATCCGAGTTTGTTCCGCGTTCGCGTACTTGACCGATGCTCTCCGCGGGACAGAACCTATTAAAGTGGCCAGCAATGAAAAGAAGGAGGCAGCCGTTCTATGTCTGGACGACAGTGGCAACGAGTATGATGCGCTCTACTTGAGCCAGAATTTGGGCTCTCGTGAGATAACGTACTGCGCTTCAGGAAATGAATGCGCTTGCCTTGTGTAGGCCTTTCTTCAGTTGCAGTGTTATCTCAGAGGTGCTAAATTTAAAGTCGGGACCGCCCATTTTCCCCTTACTTGGCTGCAAAGCAGGACATCAAAGAACAGTCGCCTTGTGAGGCAGAGCTTGATTCTTCGAAAATATAATTTTGGGCATTAGGTAAAGGGCGAATTGAATGGAAACGTTGACGCGCTCAGCCGCTCTTTCTAAGCCATTCTGGGGTGTTCTTGATGTATCAAAATTGATATTTTAGTTTTTTTCGTGCAACTTATCATGTAAAATATGTAAGGTAGCACGTTTGGTTTCTCAGCGCAAGTGAGTCCTGAGAGTTTTGAGTGCGAGCTTTTTATTAAAGCTAGCAATGAAAAATTGGTTTCCTATCCCTCTTTTGGCTTGGGTTTGTTCGAAGGGTGCCGAGTGCTTGCTTGTGCATGTGGTCCAGTTTCAGAAACGGTGTCGAAGATTCGGCATTTACCCAGACCATGCCACAAGCGAAGGCCAGTTCCTGGGATTCGACTACGGACCCTTTCGTCGTCCCTGCGAGCAGGGACGACGAAAGTTACAGAGTTTCGTCGTCCCTCCGTGACTCATCTGGCGAGGGGGAAGCTGTTATGACCGTCGTCAGTAGGCGCCATGCTGTCGCTTAGAAGCGTAGCCGGGCAGCGTTCCCACGCCTAGAAACCCAGTTTTCTCGGAACCAGCGTCCAGAGATGACGGGGGAGCGGCGCTCTTTTAATCCTCAAACAAGTAGTCGACTGGCCGGCTGCCTAAGCCCACCAGGTATTGTCCCTGCTAGCCGGAGGATGAGACGTCGTGTCGCCACGACGCCGTGAGCCGTTCCAGAGAGGACAACAAAGACAGCGTCTTCCTTGGAAGAAACGGCGGCCGCCGCCACAAAGTGCCCTGCTAATTGAGCGGACAGATTGGCGGGCCGTTTGATGTCTGCTGTCCGGAGCTTGGGACCCCTCGACCAGCGACACACACACGACGAGGAAGAGCCCCTCTGGCGCCACTTTGCAGTGCAGTGATCACGACTCGATATTGGATGCTCACGTGGGCCGTGCATGCTCGTACCCCTCGCCTGTTGTGTGTGTGTGATTGGTGTTCCACTCAAAAAGGAGGAGCCCGACAGGGCTTATAAGGACGCCGCAGAGTGCGGGACGTCGCTCTGAACTGTGTAACGGTTCAACCACCACGCTCGTGGTTTGTGTGAACTCCTAACTTCCTATGCTGTAAATATTTGTAAATAGTGCCATAAACCTGTTTTGTTTTCGTATCCTCGTGCGACGTTCCTTCCCACCGCAACACTACATACAGAGGAATCGCATTTATGGCAGCTCTTTTGGATCATGTCGCCATGCTGAGTGGAACTCTAAAACCATCGCCTACTACCCACAAACAAATAGGCTAACAGAGCATCTAAATAAATTGATTGAAGGCACGCTTTTGATGCACATAGATATTTAACATAAGAACTGTGATGAAATGTTGCCTTAAATCATGTTTCCATACAACACGGCCAACCAAGAAACGACTCGCATCACTTCGTTCAGTCTCGTCTACAGATGGGAGGTACAAACTATGTTGGATGCTATCTTACTGGACAAATGTAACGATATTGACGCAAACGCCTATGTGTTTACGGAATGCGTGAAAAATAAGCCAGGCAACTTGCACGCTCGCTGATCCACCAGCAGCAAGACTTCGCTTTCAGTGCTGCTTCAAAAGCATCACATCGCAGGGTCTTCAGACTTCTCATTTTGCACATCATCTAGTGTCACGGGTTTCACCTCCGAAACAGTGTGCTTATGGTCTTGGCTTAATGGCGTCTTCTGGTGTCCGCAAGATGGCGCATGTCAACCATAAGGTCGTACAGTCGAATCTCAGTAATTCGAACTCGAAGGGGCCCAAAAGTTTGTGAAAATTAAAAGAAGTTTGAATTGATGAAAGCTAAATGAACGAAGGGCTCACCATGCAGTGGCGCATGTGCATTGAGCCAACACACGAGGGGAAAGTTTCAGAAGGCTTACATTTATTCACAAATGACAGGACATCTATAAATAATTGAAGTAATTGATAATGCGCATTTGGCACTCGTTTGCCGTGCGGCGAGTCAATGAATTTCGCTTGCAGTTTGCAAAGCATTTCTACTTCGGCTTCAGCATTCTCCTGGCAAGAGAAGTTGCACGCAGTAATGTCCAGCGCTAACACTCTCTAAAGACGACGGCAACGGCTGCGTCTCTGCTGCTACCCTCTGCGCGGTAGCTGGAGTGTGGCCAGCACATGACAAGGAAAAAGGAGCGTCTCCACGTGGAGAGAACCAGATCGACATTGGCCCGCCACGGTGGTCTAGTGGCTAAGGTACTCGGCTGTTGACCCGCAGGTCGCGGGTTCAAATCCCGGCTGTGGCGACTGCATTTCCGATGGAGGCGGAAATGTTGTAGGCCCGTGTACTCAGATTTGGGTGCACGTTAAAGAACCCCAGGTGGTCAAAATTTCCGGAGCCCTCCACTACGGCGTCTCTCATAATCATATGGTGGTTTTGGGACGTTAAACCCCACAAATCAATCAATCAACCAGATCGACATTTGAGAGAGAACCAACACTCCGTGGCGGCTTCCTTTCTTTTTTGCTTTCTTCGCGCGCGGTGTTGAAAGCACAAGAGTCTCGACGTGGCAGGGACAAGAAAGGGGGAAGCGTGGCACCAGCGCGTCGCAGATTGGCATTAGAGAGAAAGCAAACACTCCACGACAGCTTTTAAAGACGATAACTTGGGGACCCTCGACAAAAAAATTTTGGTCTGTCTGTCTGTACATTTGTCTGTTTGTCCACCCTAACGATATTTCAAACGGCCAATCCCATCCACAGCGCCCATCAATATTGCTCAAGGTTTAGCGTTCATAGTTGTGCGATTGTCAATTAAAAAGTAATTATTGCTCATATCTGAGGCGCCACAACAGCGCTTCGATGTTTTCTATGTCTGCCTTTATACTAGAAGAGGCACAACACAAGTAACTCTAAAAAATGTAGCGTTTAATCGCGCTGCGCTGACAGTGCAAGGCGATGTTCAAAAAGGTGTTTCCAATGCTTTGCTACGAAGTCACGGGAGTGGCACCTTCCCGTCGCTTTGCGTTCTACACCTTGTCACCTCCGCAACTGGCGCGCATCATTCTCCGCGGGCTGCACGCCTTCGTTTTCGAAGATAACTGTCAGATGGCACTTGTGTCTAACGTGCCTAGATGCGCTCGTTCGTCTCCACCACACGCTTGAGGCAATCTAACGCAGCGCCTGCAGAATACCATTCACCGATTTTTTTGCACAGAACATCAAATAAACATTTTGTTCACTCTCTCCAGACTCAAGACTATCGTCTTTCGACCACATTTACAGTATAATATGTAGATTCTGGCCAATTTTTTTTTCCTCTCTTGTTGAAAGGAGAAGGGTCTCTACGTGAGAGGGACGGAAAAGGGAGGAGCATGGCACAGGCGTGTCGCAGATTGGCATTTGAGAGATAGCAAACATTCCGCCGCAGCCTTATCTTTCCTTTTCTTCTTTTCCTCCTTTGCGCGAAGCATTGAGGTGTTGGAGGTGCCGCGGCGGGATTGGGTGTAGGGCTGAGAGCATTCTTGGAGTGCAGTATGTTCGAATTAACCGTCACAAGTGCATGCTCGTCAGAATTACAGAATGTTTTCGCCTATTGGAATACACATAGCTTTGACGGGACCACAGCATGAATTCGAATTAACTGAAAGTTCGACTTAAGTGTGTTCGAAATAATGAGATTCGACTGTACTTGGTTATTATTGGAATATAGTTGAAAAAAAAACTTTTTCGATTAGAGTGTGTGACGGAACATTTGCAGGGTTTTTAGAGTATTGCAGTTATCTATTGAAAAAACATTTTCAGTAGGAGAGTATGATTGCAAAGGAGGACTGAGTGTTATGTTCATGGTCACAAATAATCGGCACTACCTATAAATGTGATCACAAGACTGCGTTTTTTTTTTTTTTCCAGATACAGTCACAGTTGAGTGTCATAGATCGTTGGCTTCTGAGCTGCCTTGCACATTTTGTCAGCACCTGTAACAATTCTTTGTCAAGCGGAAGATTGCACCATTTTGCTGCTGCCATCCAAACCTTCGTTGTTGCACAGCTCTGTGATGTGTATCTGGTGAGGTTCTTCTTGCCATAGACTGGCATCTCTTTCTTCTCCTAGAGTAGTGCTTGTGCCCTGCTGTGAACATGGGAACAGTACAGCCATGACATTGCGAGATTATCGTGCCTGCTCTGTGAACTGAAATTGATTTTATTTCAAAGAAGATGTGTGCCTGTAACATTTATGCTGGCATCTCGCATAAAATGCATAGGACTAGTATTATGTTTTTGTGAATGAGGTAGCACTTTTTTTTCAGATTTTTTTTTTTTTCAGATCTTTTACATGCCTCACAAAATGCATGCTTTAGGCTACCCGCTGAAGCCTTGAAGGCAGAATAGCACACCTACTGTCAGAACTTGTATATCAAACACTCTAAATAAGCGGTGTGCGAATATAAAAATTTTCAAGACAAAATGAATACAAATACATGCTTCGAATACAAATCGAATGTCAAAGAATCAAGAGATGCGATTTTTTTCACCAAGAATCTTTTACTTTACCATGTATTTATGTTGAAAACAGTATATTTATTGGCTATTCTAGTTTGTTCTTGCACAAAAAACACTACTACAGTGAAATCTCGATATAACAAACTTCAGGGGGCCGTGGCAATTATTTAGTTATCTTGAAAGGTCGTTGTAGTAAAAGACCAAGAATGAACCATAAATACTTATCTTTGAACGACCAAAACGGCTTACCTTTACAACAGTGGTTCCTTGAACTCGTTTTTCACGAGAAGAAACAAATGCACAAGTGAACACAAAAATAAAATGCACGTTTACTTTAAAGAAGTCTAATTTTTATTTCTTTGACGCATGCAGCACAAACTTTGCAGCATGAAGGGCTCCAGCTAATCCACATTCCTGTGGTGCGATTCGGTTCTTTGGTCACAACAGCCTGCTTTTCACCTTCCAGTTGTCGAAGAATATCCGCTTTCTGGCTTAGCGAAAACTGCTTCCGCTTCTTTGTCGCAAACATGTGTAGTAGCACAGCAGCGCGAATGCGGACTTGCTTTGCGGATGCGATAAGTAATCACCGAAGAGAGATGAACACGACTGAGAAACCAGGCCTTTTAGAGCACATATAGAAGTGACAAAGAAAGAATATCCTGAAGCGTCGCGGCTGTGATTGCCTCTTCCGGAAAAAAAATGCGAAAAAAGAAAATTTCTCACGTTTCATTTTCTGCTCCCTCGCTGTCTCAGGTTTTCCGCGCCCATGCTTCCTGCTTTGCAACTCCCACTTTTCCTCGCTGACCTTGCCCTCCTGTGTTGCCCTTGCCCCTCGCCTCGGCACTTGTAAACCTGCAGCGTTGGCGTTTCAACAACAAGAAAAGAAAAGAAAGTTGCCCTTTTGTGTTTTTTTTTTTCTCCTCACCGTCGCACCTTCTGAGAAGCAAGGCGTCCGTTCGCTTTGTCCTCTGCTTGCGTACCGCTCCGGTGGTCGTGACGGATTTTAAAACATGAGTCGTAGTACTGAAGCATTGTTAATACAACTTGGAACTAAATAATGTTCATTATTCTGAAAAGTTCGGTATTCTGAAGTACATAGTAGTGAAATAATTTTACATTGAAACTATTAGCAGTTGGCGTGGGATTTTTTAAAAGTTCATTAATCTGAAAAGTTCGTTACTGTGGGGTTTGTTCTACCGAGATTTCACTATCTGTACTTACCAGGAAGCATTCGACTGTGCTAGTAACTGTAAAGTCTTGAGTGTAATTCAAGTGTTGAACAAACTTTTGCCTTTTTTTTTTTTTTTGTTCTTATGTGGCAGCACTTCAGCGTGTTCACTGCATCTGGAGGCACCCGTGGGTCATGGCTTGTGCTCCTCATTCGCGGCTGCGAATTCATGTGTATTTATCTGCGGCTGCAATAACTTCATGACACTGGAACGCAGAGGTATGATTTTTGTTGCAGCAGAATACACATGCCCAGGAGAATATTAGTCTGATGCTAAAAGCTATGACCCACCGGTGCCCCATGATGCACTCAATAAAAATGTCTTTGCACAATTTGCGGCATGACTCATCAGCGACATGCGCGTGAGAGCTCTTCATCTTGTGCTACCATCTGAAGGTCAATATTGGAACTAATATATATTGTCTATTTGCGTCGGACGCGAGGTGGTGCGATGGTTATTATGGAACTTAATTGTAGCACATTGCTTCATTGTGTTGCTTGCAAACTTTTCCTGGAGTTTATGAAATATGTGCTATTGGATGAAGTGTAAGAGTTTTTCTTGCTGCTTCAAAACTTTTCTACGTACCTAATAAAAGTTTGTGTCTTTTACGTCTGCAAAAGAAAGTTCAGCACTGAGGAAACAAACCAACTTATCACAGAAACTTACTTTATGTGTGTTTCCAGATCAAGCACTTTGTATTAAATGTGAAGCATGTCTTGACGAACTTTGGCGAGTTTGACCGTATCTATCTGTCTGTCTGTCTGTCTGTCTGTCTGTCTGTCTGTCTGTCTGTCTGTCTGTCTGTCTGTCTGTCTGTCTGTCTGTCTGTGTCTGTCTGTCTGCCCGTCCATCCGTCCGTCTGTGTATCTATCTATCTGTCTGTCTGTCTGTCTGTCTGTCTATCTATCTATCTAACTAACTAACTAACTAACTAACTAACTAATTAACTAACTAATTAACTGCCTACGACTTTTAACTCTCCTGGCTGTTTGTATAATGGGATGCATACCAAAATTGGTATGGCATAACATGATTGTACAATGAGCGTAAGTGGCTAGTCATAACATTAAAATCATGACATGTATGTCATGAATGTCATGATTTACATGTCTGGGTCTTGCTGCTCCTGGGGTGGTTTCGTTCGCATCACATATCGCAAGACTGGTATGATATGACTTCACTGCATGGCAAACATGAGTGACAGGCCCTCACGTGGAAATCATGACATGTGTGTCATGTAAGAACATGACCACATGTCACCATGTCACACTCATGATGCGCTCACGGTCCTTTTGCTAGCTTCAGATACACCAAATTTGGTATTACGTTAGGTGAATAGATGACGAAGGTGTATGACTGGTGCAAACATGATAATCATGAAATCCGTGGCATGAAAGAACATGTCTACTACATGCCATGCTCATGATGTGTTCTCGGCCATTACTCTAGCTTCACATATACCAAATTTGGTATTACATGACGCAAATGGATGACGAAGATAAATGACATGTCCAAACATAACAATTATGACATGCGTGTCACGTGAAACATGACTACGTGCTACGCTCATAGCACCCTCGCTGCCATTCTGCTAGTTTCACATATACTAAATTTGGTATTACATGACATGAATGGACGACTGAGCACAAATTTCAGGCACAGACATGGCGATCATGACATGGCAGTCATGTATGGAATAATATTAGTCTGCCTCGTAACGTTGTGCTGATTTTAATGTTACAATTCAACCTTCCTCATTCGTGCTTCTCATATAATCGATTCCCACTATACGTGGGATCTACCAATTTTTTTTAAACCTGGATTTACGTAAAAAAAAAAGCAGAAAGCAGCTTTGTATCTCCCAAACAAACACCTCAAACACTCACTATCTAGAATGGTATGTCACACTGATAAAGTGCATGCCACTCGTCACCGCGACCTACGAAAACTGTGGTGATTGGGCGAGGAAAGCACGCAAAGTAGATGGCGAATATTGTTGCGAGGCAGAAATACTCCCCAAATACTCCATTTTTTTTAGAGGGTGTGTGACACTGGTAACTGTGTATGACAAGTTTCCAAAGGTGCCGCCGGGAACGCAGCGTAACTACAGAATAACTCAATAACGCACCTCGAATTTCGGTCATCTAACATGCACTGCCTAACGCACCTCAAATTTCGGTCATCTAACATGCACTGCCGTTAGTAACAGAGAAATACATGGGATGACGCCATTGTAATGTTACCGAAAGTGCTTGGCATTTTTTTTTTTTTGCCATTTTGTGGAAAATACTTAAGCTTATTTGTATGACCGGGTGCTACCATCAAATCATTTCATAACTAAGACAAGGATTACATGCTGACATTCCTGATAGAGTGGGACAGCTGACAGACAGCGCGTCAGGCTTTCATAGATGTGTGCGCGCACGTGTCTGAAAACCGGCTCAACTAACCATGATACGCGTTACCTGCCGCATCGTATAGCTGAGCGTCTTTAGCTGAGCGTCCTTAGCTAGTTGAGCGCAGTGCATCGACTACTAAGCTCGCTCTTTTAGCACCTTTTGGTGTAATGTACACATGTATTTGCCTTTGTGCAGTGACATTTTTTCTCTGTGCTCACTTCACCTTGGATCGTGCAAAGGTGCGATGAGCATTTTGTCGCACCAGTGCAGCCACGGTGAATCACGGTCATTTTCATGAGCAATAGGGGAAAGTCAGAAGGACTGGGACATTTTTCACGGTTATATATTTAGTTTCGTTGAACCTCAATGCAGAACAATGTTTGATTTATCGTAAGGCAGGTCTAAGCAAGCTGCAAAACTTCAGAGACGCACTCACTGATTCCTATGGCCCTTGGTGCAGCTGTAAAAAATTGTTAGTGATGGCTAAAATGTATCCCATTCCACCCTTCTTTGTGGGTGGTGTGTGACATCATGTGGGAGGAGTGGGACGTACATAACACTATGATCCAAGTGTCTTCAGCGACCCTCATTAGCCAACATTGAACATTAAACAAGGTTGCACAAACTTGGCTGCACCTATAGTCTTGGACACTCAGAGCTTTATAATAATGTCCATGATTCGTACAATTTCTATATTTCTTTTTTAGGAGAGAAGTAAAACGGAAAGCTCTTTTTTTTTTTTTTTTGTTCCGAACTGTACACTGAAACATTACTGATTGATTGATTCTAGCCTTGTGATGAACGTAAAATTGTTTTATTAAAATTGATAAGAAAAACTGTGCCTTTTGTCACTAGAATATACTCATTAGGCCAGTTTATTTCACAAATGTCATGGCAGCCATTATCGGAAGCTGACATGTCACTGTCAGTCTTGTCAG